TGACCTGATAGGGGCAGCATGTACGCATACAAGTGTTCTAGTATGCTGTTTAATGCCAGTGGAAGAAAAATGCCTCTGAGCACAGAAGAACAACTCGATATCCTTATCCAGAAATACACATTACCATTATTTTTGTTTGAGATAGCTGGTATTGCTGTGTAGCACACTATGTTCAAAACGCTAAAGGGTAACGCACTTAAGTAATGGGTTAAAGTAATATAACCATAGCTCGCAGGAGTAGGCTACCATCTTTATCGTTAAATAAATATTTCCAGACTAATGGTCCGTCACCATGTCAGTAAATTTAAACATCTGCTTGAGTTCAAAGTATATTCAGAGTTCAGCAGCAGAAATCTCGTTGGCACTTCATTACCTTCCAGACATGGACAACATGCTGCCCTGATTTGCATTAAGCTTAGTGAATATCCCCCTCAGTGTCAGTGTTTGTCCTAGAAGCTCAGAAGAGTTTTTATTTCAGGTGGTAAAGCAAAATAATGATTTTTGGGATATTTCTTGGAGACAAACCATGGAATTTCACTTGTATTGGTATTGACTACTAAATTTCAGGTATCGTAGCATGCCTATAAAGCAACTTAATAGACAAGTACAATTTTGAGGTACTGGTTCTTTACAGTAGTAGTTTTGTACTGAGATGTTTCATTGCACAGTTATCCAACAGCTGTAGTTTGTAGGCTCTCTAATTTTGTCTTCCCTTCATCGGAACATTGGAACAATGAGTATTTTAACTTTGGATACTTTTAGCTGATTCTTGTTTACATGTCTTACAAGGTATTTCTCTGTAAATTAGTATTTTTCTACCGTGGTATTGCTAATTTTACCTAATTAAAGGATTTAAACACTTGTTTTCCACCGGTGTTAGGCAAGTTGTGGTCACTGCGCCTATGTGACACATTACCTCTACAATGTTCGTGCATGTGTGGCCTAGGCTTATGACTTGTTAGAGCCTAACCACGAAAGCAGCACAACAAATTAAGGACCTGCCTTGGAGGGACGTTATTGTCTCGTCTTCCATCATTATGGAACCACACAGTCGATCCCCAACTGTGACACCCATTGACTCATCCCTGCGCACAAAGTAAAACCCCTCTCAGTGTCTGATGAGCCAAAACATTTTCCTTCCTCTATTTCTCTTTCTCTTCCTCTCTTGTATTGTAACGCAGGAGAGAGTTTCAGATCAACAGGGGTGGATACAGTCATATGACAGGTCCTTATCAAACAAGGAGCAGCCTGGATTTCAACTAAGTGCCAGTATAAACTTTATAGTTGTGAGCTTCTTTGTGTGATGTCAGCACATTAGGCCAACCTATGAACTGTGTATCTTGACCTTTATGTATGTGTGTTTGGGCCGATTTTTATCTCACTTAAGCTACTTTAGAATCCGGACTTAAATTTAAAAACACATTTAGGGTTAGGTTTAGGTAAACATTACGATCAGTGAGGATACAATTCAAGTTTAGGGATTAGGGAATTAATGTAGTCAACAGTCATCTAGATGCAAAATGAATGTGTGTGTAAAAATGGCTTTGCGCTGTGAATGTTATTTTATGTGTCACAGTTGTTGATAATTGTTTTATAGGTGAATCTCGACAGTGCTTTTTCAAAACTTCCTGCTTCCTTTCAAGTACAAGTTAGTTCAAGTTTAAGTCCTCTTAGAATTCTTACAATATTTGCATTAAACTCCCAAAAAAAGGACTCAAAGACATAAGTGATAGCAGATGTTATGTTTTCCGCTTTCTTTTTTCCATGCCCTCTGTTTCCCACAAATCTGTCTGTCCTCATGCTGTAGAGTTTGAACCGTATCACCATGGCCTCACTTTAACACTATATTTGTGTTTAAAGAAGGGTTGGAAATGGAAACATTGTGTTGTGAGATGCGATCGTGCTGTGTTTGTCTTGACGTGTATCTACCAAAGTGATGTGGATTAGGCCTATGTGTTTTGCTGAGGGCAGTTTTGGAAAACTGACCACATTTAGGTTGATCCCCTCTTCTTTTGTTAGAAGGTTAAGACTTGATTTCAGGTTTAAGATTAGATTAGGCTTTGGATGGTTCAAGGGTTGGGGTTAGGTATGTAGATGTGATCAAGAGGGAATGCAAATGTCATTAAAATTCCTCACAAGTACAAATGTTCAAACCTGTACTTTTGTGTGGCCTAAGAGCTGTTTCAGTCTGTGTTGATGTTCCGAGAGAGTTCCCTTTATGATCTCATCCACTTAATTTGCTGCTCGGGTAAGCCCTTTCTTGTGTCTCAACATGTGTGTGTTTGTGACTTTGTGTCTTTATCTGTCTAGTCTGCAAGTGATTACACATAATGTAATAGCCTTTCCCTGCTTTAATCTGAAAGCACATTTTTTGAGTTTAAAATTAAACTTAACTGTAACTAAGGAAGGGTGAGGTTCTGGTCAATGCAGGGCACATTTACAGCTTTATTTTAACCACTTCCCTCGCTGACTTTGATTTGTACTATAATAAAGCAGGAGTTTTGTAATTGGAGCCAGCTCTCATTAATAGAGACATCCATTAATGCTAAGGCGAGTGGTTGACTTCACCAGCAGACATATCATAGATGTTCTCATGCATTTTAGATGTGCTAGACAAACAGCCATAGTAATGACCACATAATTCAAGGCGTGTGAAGATGTTGTAAAACAAGTAAGCATATGTGGCAATCACATGTGGTTTCATTCTCGCTTCAATGTGGCTGCAAGCCTTTGAGGAAAGGTTTGATGAATCCCATAATCCCACTGAAGGGGAGGGTGAAACGAAGAATTTGCGATCTGTAACTACACTGCTAGATGCCACTAAAGCCTACACATTGGTGTTTTAGTTCACAGCAACTTTTTATGAAGTAGTTTTTTTTATAATAGTTTTGTTGAATTTGAAAGAATTTCGGTCCAGTTTAAACTCACATTTTGAGAAAATTTGTGTCAATTTTGTTTAGATAATTCACTTCGTGCAGGATGTTTGTTAGTATAGAAATATTTGAAACATTGTTCAGATGATCGGCCACAATGCATCCTCCCTACACAGTAACTACACTTTTATTGCAAGTTTTGCTCTTTTAGCTGTTTCATCAAGTGGTCACAAAAGAGGACATGCCTTAACAAGACACTAAGACTTAAAAAGAAGAATGTTTTGGGGAATGTTTGTCTTATAGTCAGGTATCTCAACTTGACAATAAACCCTAGTTGTCTCTTTCTCATCTTAGCACAGCTCCACCAAGGCTTCCTCGGCTTTGCCAAGATTTGATTCCATTATCTTAAAGTAAGACAAAGCTGTAAAATTAGTAACAGACTTTCAGAAACCTTAGGGTAACATAACATGTTTTTGTATATTTTTTTTACATTTATGCTTATTAGCCAGGTGTCAGAGGGTCAGTCATGTGGACAGTCACATTTGTGCCTAAAGCAATAAAAGACCTGTCACATGCATGTCTAGCTCTCCTCCTTTCATACTTCCAATTTTTACATTTTTACATTTCTGCTTCAAATATTTTATCAGTGCTTTAACGTTAGTATACAAGCACAGAGATACATAGGCCTAAATGTAATTTGTTATTTCAGCAATCTGACAACTGCATTATTGCATTTGCTGCTAACACATTGTCATTATGGGCATGGTTTATAGGGGCGTGTCTTGTACAGGAGTAGTTTGTAGCGTCTGCAAGGCCACAGCTGGACCCTTCTCGCCTTAACTACCTTCTCATGTGACACAAGAGTTCAGAGAGCACCTTTAAGGCCAACTGCTGCAGAGTAAGAGACTGAAAAGGAAACAGGAAGGAGGAAAGTGACACTTGAAATTATTGTCCTCATTTGGAACCGTAAAGTTTCCATTTTGAAAGAATGTTTTACAGTTTTGGGTCGTTTTGAAGCGTTGTCTCGAGTGAGGCAGTTGTTTTTGATGGTATGGAAGTTTCAAATAAATATGGAAATATGGTTATTTTATCATTTCTTAATTGAATTTACAGAAAAATGTAATAATAATATATTTATTTGATATAGTGCTTCAAAAAAGGTACTCAAAGGTTCTTTACATGGTAACAAAATACAATAGCAGAAACAGCAAAGGCAATTAAAAAACTACTATAACAACTACACTAAACAGGAAAACTAAAACAGCATAAAAAACAAAACAAAAACAAAAAATAAAACAGCTGAAGCAATAAAAAGGAAAGAAGGGGGATAGATCATAGATTGAAAGCAGGTGTTTGGGGAGAGAATTCCAGAGGCAGGGGGTAGTATCTGGTTCAGACAGTGCCTTGGTTATATTTTAAAAGAAGAAAAATAGGCATGAACTTTGGTTGCTTGCTTAGAACTGACATGGTCAAACAATTACAGGATCATTGGTGGTGGCTGCATGTATGTGTGCCTGTCTGTTTCCTTAACGTTTAGAGGCTTTGGGTCAGATCTCTCCATGGGGGAAGGTAAGAGAGTGATAGGTGAGATAAAAAATGACATCAATAGTTCTCCCGTGCAATGTATAAATGTGTGTGTATCTGCAAGAGAGGGAAAGAGAATGGATCAAAACATTTGCAGGCAGGTCATGTCCTGCATCTGCACACACACAAAGACACACACAAAGACACACAAAGAACTACACACAACGCCCACAAACCACACACACACACACACACACACACACTGCAGCTTTCCAGCAATCCCTGTTCTTCAAACATACACACATGCAGACACACACACCGCCTCAGAGAAAAGCAGGGATTCCAATCCGTCACAGAGATGA